TTTTAAGGGCTTTAGAATAAAACAGTTTGGAACCAGCAAATCCCCCCTCCCTCCCTTTCCTACCCCCCCCCCCCCTCAATCCCTCCCTACTCTTTAAAACCCCTTGGCCTAATTCTAGCCCTGGAATCTGTCGTGCTTTATTGCCACTCCTGATTCATATTCCAGGTTGAGACTCAAAACACATACGCTCATTCTGACCCCTAGCTCTCATCATTGGGGTCAATAATTCAGTAGCTTGTTTGGCCCCCTGACATCCTGCTGTTTTCTGGGGAAAAAAAATATTTCTGTCTTCATCAGAGTTCCCTCCTTCCTAACCCACTTACTTTGTCAGTCATTATACCTGTCCCCCTTCATCTATTACTTTCCCCCTATGGCCTTTATGAATCACTTCAAGAGAGAGATAGCTAAATACATACACTAGTGGCATAGATGGGAAAGGGAGCTAGAGATGAGGGGAGGTGAGAGAGAGGGAAAAATATATAGAGGAGGGGGAAGATTAGTGTCCCAAATGGTTTGATCTCCATCTTACTTTCTTTTTACTTCATGCTGTTTCTCCGGGGTTTAGTCCTCTGGGCTTTTCTCCTGTGGGGGCATATACTTTCTTATTGTGCTTGTGTTTGCTTTTGATTGGGGGGTTTTTGATCCACCTCCTTTGACAGATCTACTTTTCATATCAATATGGATTTGCAACTGATTTTTATAACTTCAGACCTAAAGTTGTTGCCAATGTCACCGTCCTTGTAAATAGATTTTAGGAACAGATATTCCTTTCCTGTTTCATGATATGTTTGCCAGGTGTAATAATCAGAATTAATCAGATTTTAGATCTCCTCACTCTGTGCCCCATCTAAATTTTCCTATTTTTTAGCGCTTTTTAGAGATTTGCAGTTCACAGGAAAAACATTCTTTCCTCTTCTTCTAAATTCCCTTGGTGGCCTCTCCTGTCTTTCTTGAGTTTCCTTTTAAAAAGAAAATTTTCTGCAATCACAACAGCCCCTATGACCACCATACAAGGATACTTTTTACTTCCACAAACTATTAGAAGAAAAAAAAAGATTTATTTGGAAGTACTTTGGGGGTTTACCGCTACCCGTGGCTACTCACCATCTCCGCCTGAGTTCACTGTGTGGAACTGCTCATCACCCTGCTAACTCGTTCATCTCAGTCGGGCTTTCCAGGTGCTTTTGGTATGACTACTGGGATTCCAGAAAGCTCCAGGTGTCTTCGGTAGTGTGGAGGGGGGGCACCCTCCATGTGCGCTGCCACTTCTTCCTCTTTCTTCCTCCGTTTGGGTCTTTCAGCACTCCCGGAATCCTGGCTGCTGTCACGTGGGTGCTCCTGGAACCCCTTACTCCTCCGCAGACCCCCACGTCCTCCCAACCCGCAGGGGCCACAGAGCTCCTCCAGACCCCGTCCACCGCCGAGGGACAAGCGGCACCCAGCGCAGAGCCCCACTACACCGGGTCAAGTAGGGCCTGAGTCAGACCTCTCTCATTGTTTAAACAGCGGGCATCTGGAGCTCATAAAATATGCGGCCTCTCAGCGCCATGTTCAGGCCACTCCCCCCCACATTGACTGTTTTAAGTCATAGCAGCACTGACCTGCACTGTTCTTGGATTTAGAGCTGGACTTGTTTTTTTTTACACTTGCCACCTGCCCACAGTAGTGTTACTGCAGGCAAGCAGCACAGCCCCACTGAATCTTGTACCTGTACGCCAGCGGGGCTCTTCCGGGTTTGGACAGCACAATTTTTTTCAGGTCCTGGCCAATGATTCATGGCTGATACCTGCTGAACTTCTGTGTCCAATCACAGTACAGAGCCTTTTGTTTACACACAGGGCTCTGTACACTGATCAGCTACCTAGATGTTTCTTTTCCCTGGAAAGCAGGAAAAAAAACAGATGGAAAAGTAAAAGCAGTACACATATACACACATTACACATCATTAGGCACATATTTACCCCTTGATTGCCCCCAGATGTTAACTCCTTCCCAGCCAGTGACAAAAGTACTGTCAGTACATCATTTTAACGCAAACTAATCCCTCTACTTCTTTAGCAGCAATTCAACAAACTCTCATACAATTCAGTAATATTTCATAGTATAAAATAAATACATCCAAATCTAAAATTCTATATCTAGGTGTAGATCACATTCTAAAAATGCACCTGCCAAAACAAATTTCCCTACATCTGGGAAAATGAAGCCATTCCTTATCTTGGAATATTGTTGACAAACAAAACCTCTGACTTAGGAAGTCTCAAATATTCTAAATTTAATTCCAAAAATTCAAACCCATCTTAATCAACAATAACATGAACTATCCTGGTCTGGCAGACTGGCCGACTTTAAAATGTTCATATTGCCACAGATTTTATATCTATTTAGATCATTTCCAATCCCAATTAAATCTTCATATCTAACAAAACTACAATCTATGCTTAAAAAAATGTCTGGTGAAATATGAGACCTAGATGCTCACATATATTAATCAAACACAAAAAAGTAGGAGGAATGGGACACTAGAGACTATCACAAAGCATCATTATTGGACCAACTTAAACATTGATTTGCAGTGGAAGATGATACAAAATAGGGGGATATTGAAAAAACTCTAGCCTCTACTACAGATTTAAGCGCCATACTACTAGCGAGCTCGTGGCAAAGGATTCCCACTAGTAAAACAACACCAACTATACAAGCCTCAATTGAAGCCTGGAAATTCTTAAGCTCCATACCTATAGATCTTCTCCGAATAAATCCTCTTCCTATACCTATGACAGCCTTTTGAAGTCATAATGCCTAGCATAGATATCTCAAATTGGAAACATTAATTGTATACGCACAATACAAGGTATCTGTTAAAAATGACATAAAAAAATCTTTAATTCCTTATGAAAAAATGTAACCACCTCTCTTCTGAAAAAACCTATACACGAATCAGTCATCGAAACATCCAGTAAAAACAATATAATATATATCAATAGATATATACAGTTCTATAGCGCCGCTACTCCTAAATCAGGTGCTATAACCCTATTTTATAATCTTCCATAATGTAAATCAGAATTTAATAAGACTACTCTGTTAAGTGGGAAAAGACTTGGAGACTGAAATCGCTAATGAGCTGTGGGAATGTGCTTTCAGGAATGTGTTTTCAGCTACTAGATGTGTTAACCTTTTGGGAGCTAATGCACAAAATGTCCACAAGATGGTATCTAACTCCTTACTGAATGGCCAAATTCTCAGAACAACACAGACCTCAATGCTGGAGAAACTGCGGTCAGATTGGTACTCCATTACATATATTATGGACATGTAATAATATTAGAAGCTATTGGTATAAAGTCTTTCACATGATATCAAAATGACTGGGATATTGAAACAACCAGATCTTACCCTGTTCATTTTTATTATAAATATAGATACATATCCAATCCATTATCGAATCTTAGTGACACACATTCTATATAGCATCAAGACTTGCCATTACTAGACACTGGAAAAAAGACTTGGCTCCTTCTCTAAAAGATGTCATTGAGCTAGTCCAGACCCACTTCATCTATAAGAAATCTTTAGCTTACCTAAACGATAGAATTACTAAATTTGACACAGCTTGGAAACCCTTGTCTGACTGGTTCAGAACTGTAACCTAAGATATTATGTTTAACTTTTTTTTGGATACTCTAAAATGATTACTTCATGGAACTAGTAGGACTGTTAGGAATTATGCAATATTTCCTTTTTTCTCTTTGTTAAACTTTACCGCAGATATTGTGTAGCTTTTCACTGTCCTATTTTTTTTTTTCTTGTAACTATATTTGTAAAACCAAATAAAAATGTAAGTATTATCACTGTATTGGTGTCACTAGTGATGGCCATTGTCAGTTAGTAACACTCCCAAATAGTGTCTTGTTAGTGCCAGATTGCCCCCCACCCTATCACAGTAACACAGTAAGTTGCTGATCTCCGCCATTACAGTATAGCGTCTACATTCCAGTATATATACCATAGTTTGTAAATACTATAACTTTCGAATAAACCAGTTAATATACACTTATTGGGTTTTCCTTTTTTTTACTAAAGACATTGTAGCAGAATACATTTTTTCCTAAATTTATTAAGAAATTAGATTTTTTTTTAAATTATTTTGTTATTGGACATGTTTTATACCAGTAGAAAATATTTTTTTTTCAAAGATTTTCTGTATTTTTATATAGTAAAAAATACAAAACCCAGTGCTGATGAAATACCACCAAAAGAAAACTCTATTTGTGTGAAATGTTATTTGTGTATAGTGTTGCATGACCATGCAATTGCCAGTTAAAGAAACGCAGTGCTGAATAGCAAAAAATTGCCCCGGTCATGAAGGGGGTAAAACGTTTTTGGAGGCCAAGCGGTAAATGACCAGAATTATCTAAACTTTCCCACTCTAGTCAAATGAAAAAGTTATGGTTGTACTGGGCCTTTAAGGGCCACCATATGCAAAAAAAAAAAAGTATGTGAAAATACAGCTCTCTATGTGAAGTCGCCTGTGCATAGAGATATTTTATCTTTTAAAGGCTGGTTCACATCACCAGTTGTGTTAGAAACCAGCTACTGGTATATGATGTGTTTGCAGTGGTGCAGCTGTCCTAAAACAGCCCATCACACTGTAACAACAATTTTTTCATTCAGCTCTATTCATTGCAGTATGTTGCTGCATTGGGAAAAAAGCATAGCATGCTGTACTTCGACGCATACCACCAGACTAAGTCAGTTGTAAACAAAGCAGATTGTCGCATTGAGACTGTGATGGGAAAGTCTGCCCAATGCTTCTGGTGTGAACAGGCCCTTAAAGTGGAATTGAAGTCCTCTTTATAATTGCAAGCAGGCAGGCTATTGTTGCAGAAGAGACATGCAATGTCTCTTCAATAAAATATATCTCCCTGCCTGCTTGCTTTTCTGAATAAAAGCTTGATCAGCTGAAAGTAAACAAAACGTGATTTTGTTTTTTGCAGAAGGAGGCTTGACGCACACGTGGAATGAAAAATACAGTTCGCCGCAGAAAACTCCCACCTGGAAAGGAGGAAACAGCCCTGCTGCTGATGTAGTTAGTATCTGGGGGTTCCTACATTTCTGCAGTTTCAGATCGATGTCAGAGATTTTCTGTTTACTGGCAGATAGCAATGACTATCATCAAAATGTTTATAATTATTTATAGTGTCTGAAATATTGGGGCAGACGTACACTATAAAACAATTTGGTTGGTCATCGGGGGCAGTCTATTTGTCACTGGTTTATGTTGTGCTAGGAGTTTGTCATCAATAATACAGGTAAATAGGGGGAGGATTTTGCAGGACTTAGAAGCTTGCTAGACTGTGTTTCCTGGGAAATTTTTCATACCAGCTCTCTAGTGTAACATGGCAATCATAGTCCAGGTTAGCTAGGCACTGTTCTTCTGCCCTAAAAGTAAACTTTAAAGTAGAGCTAAAGGCAAACGTTTTTTTTTTTTTTTTTTTTTCCATTTTGGGTAGAGTAACGGTGAGGTTATAACCCCTGCCAGTTTTGTTTGCCATGTGTGCCCCATTGGAGAGATCTTCCCTCACTTCCTGTTTAGTTGTGTACCAAAATGAAAATTCTGGTGCCAAAACTGAAAATTCAGGATGCACTTGGTCAAAAAACCGAAATGGACAGTTTTTTTAAAAAATAAATATATTTTTCAAATGCATTTTTTTGGGGAAAAAAATACACTTTATTGATTAAAAAAAAAAAAAAATATATACCCCAATTTTTTTTTTTTTTATAAAATATGATGTTATGGCGAGTAAATAGATATCCAACATGTCCTGCTTTAAAATTGTCCATGCTCGTAGAATGTCGTCAAACTACGGCACTTGAATATCTCCATGGGTGATGCTTTAAAAATTCCTACAAGTTATCAGTGTAAAGTTAGAGGAGCTCAAGTGAGAATTATTGCTCTTGCTCTGACGTTCATGGCGATACCTCACATGTGTGGTTTGAACAACATTTACATATGTGTGGCGTGGTCTACGTATGCGTTCGCCACTAGGCTCGAGCATGGGGGGATGGGGGCACTTTAAACTTTTTTTGTAGTTTTAATTTTTTTTTTTTTTTTTTTTTTTTACTCCCTTTAAAAAAAAAATTTAATCAATTTTATTCCTATTACAATGTATGCATGCATTTCTTGTGATTGAAGTAAGTAATGGCAGGTCCTCTTTATGGAGAGATAGGTGGCCAATAAGACCTCACATCTCTCCTCTACAATGTAAAGCATTAGATCAAAAAAGCATTGATCTAGTGCTTTAAAAACAAAAATGGCTTTGTTTACAAGGCACTGGAAGTGACGTCGCTCTGGTCCTCCAAGGGCATAGATATGAGTGGAGACCATCTTTCCTTCACTTATCTCTATACCCAGCGCCAGGATCGTTCGGTGGTTTCTTAGGTAAGGCTGGGAACCACTGAGCATTGGTGGGTGGCGAGGGGCGGGGTTATGTTCAGCACTTGTATCGGTGCTTATTTTTATATCAGCCACAGGCCGATGTCCCCTCTCTCTTCTTGTTCTGGTGAAAATCTGAAATTCGGGATTTTGTTTCACTTTTAAGCTTCATTTAGATGTGCTGTTGGGGGGCGAAACAAATGTGCACTTGAGCCATGTTTTTGCTGTCCGTGAACCACCCCCATTAAGCTGCAATAGGCAGCGAACAGGGGTGTTTGCAAGCCACGGTCACAATACTGCGCTTCGTGCCCGCAGCAAAATTTACCTGACATGTAGCGATCAGTAGGCAGCAAGCCTGCCGAACTCTACACTTTTAAGTAAATGAGGAAGCATCACAAACACCCCACAACCGCATGTAATGCATGTAGTTACAGCACGTTTGTTGGCAAACTGGGATTAAAACAGGCAGTGAGAAGGTGTTGTGTTGCTTCCTCTCTGCTGTCAGTGTCCGAATGCAGAATAGGCTTCAGGGGAAAGGGAAATTTGAACACATGTCTAAATCTACCCTTAGTGATGACGGTAAATAGGAAAAATACACAGGTGGAATCTTCCTAATGGGGACACAGACAGCAAAAACCTGACCGGTGCTCTAACCCACCTCCACTAGATCCAAATTTTTTTAAAAAAAGTTAGTTATACACTGTCTGCACACTGTATTAACTAACACTCCGTATTCATCCGTGTTGAAGGAGTCCCATGCCATGGGGTCTGTGACTGTTGAAAACAGGGAAAACCAGAAGGGGCTAGATTTCTACAGTATTAAAGGACTGAGTCCCCATTGCACTGAGATGGAGGAGGGAATGGTCTAAATGCAGCCTTGACAAAAAGACTGACTTTTGGAGTATGGGAAGGCTGGAGTGCGTAACAAAGGCAAAGTCTATTTAAAAAAAAAAAATTTAGAATAGGTGCTGGAATGATAGGCTAATCAACTGCAGTCTGGGTGAAATGGCATGCCAATAATAGACAAAGTTTTATATAGGGGTAAAATGTTCAAGTCAGAAATACCAGATTTCAGAGGTTCCAACCGTTGTCCATTGTTAAAAGTAAATAAATAAGCAAGCTGGAGTCCAGTTTTAATTGTCGTTCTGCATCCAGCCCCATAGGAGCTCCAAGCGAAGCCGGCTTGTTTGTGAGGAAGAGGAACGTCAGATAAAACACCAGATCACCAAAAAGAAACCAGAAAACAGCCATTGTAGCACAGGTCAGTTTTAGCCACAGGCTTTGTAGATTTTTTTTTTTGTCAGAGGCAGTTATCTGTCTCAGTCAAGACACCGTTGCCTGACTTTGGAAGTGTTGCTAGTTTTGGGGGTAGACATATCACTATGCATCTGCTGCCAAGGTGTCCTCTGTCCCAGAACTAGCATAATCACCAGTGCAGTTGGAAACTAGGAAGTACATTTTTATGTATGGATGAAACATGTTTTTAAATCAGCATGCAGAGCTCCATGGATCTATGGTATTTAGGTTTTGTAGAAGGGAAAGGTCTGCTGTAACTCACTGTCTGCTGTGGGTATACAGGTACTCTTGTATTCTTACATTTTTGTGTTTCAGCCTTTGTATGTCAAAACACTGCTTCTGTTCATCAAAAAAACAAGAAACCTCTTGAGCAATAGAAGACATTTTTCTCCAGTATTTATATTACATCAGCATATTTTGATGTGCTTTGCAGTGTACAAACATGATACAAATCACAAGCATCCATATTCCAAACTGATTGTGTCCAAGGTGGGAGTGAATGACTCAGACATGCAAGATGAGTGCTATTGTAGTGATTGGTAGTCACTTGCCCCCCCCCCCCCTCCCTCTCTCTCTCTCCCCAAAAAAGTATTTAGTCAGCCACCAATTGTGCAAGTTCTCCCACTTAAAAAGATGAGAGAGGCCTGTAATTGGCATCATAGGTAGACCTCAACTATGAGCGAGAAAATCCAGACAATCACATTGGCTGATTTGGAAAGAATTTATTTGCAAATTATGGTGGAAAATAAGTATTTGGTCACCTACAAACAAGCAAGATTTCTGGCTCTCACAGCCTGTACCTTCTTCTTTAAGAGGCTCCTCTGTCCTGCACTCATTACCTGTATCAATGGCACCTGTTTGAACTTGTTATCAGTATAAAAGACACCTGTCCACAACCTCAAACAGTCACACTCCAAACTCCACTTTGGTGAAGACCAAAGAGCTGTCGAAGGACACCAGAAACAAAATTGTAGACCTGCACCAGGCTGGGAAGACTGAATCTGCAATAGGCAAGCAGCTTGGTGTGAACAAAATGTAACAAAGGCTACCATCAGTAACACACTACGCCGCCAGGGACTCAGATCCTGCAGTGCCAGACATGTCCCCCTGCTTAAGCCAGTACATGTCCGGGCCCATCTGAAGTTTGCTAGAGAGCATTTGGATGATCCAGAAGAGGATTGGGAGAATGTCATATGGTCAGATGAAACCAAAATAGAACTGTTTGATAGAAACACAACCCGTCGTGTTTGGAGGAGAGAGAATGCTGAGTTGCATCCAAAGAACACCATACCTACTGTGAAGCATGGGGGTGGCAACATCATGCTTTGGGGGGCTGTTTCTCCGCAAAGGGACCCAGGACAACTGATCCATGTACAGGATAGAATGAATGGGGCCATGTATCGTGAGATTTTGAGTGCAAACCTCCTTTCATCAGCAAGGGCATTGAAGATGAAACGTGGCTGGGTCTTCCAACATGACAATGATCCCAAACATACTGCCCGGGCAACGAAGGAGTGGCTTGGTAAGAAGCATTTCAAGGTCCTGGAGTTGCCTAGCCTGTCTCCAGATCTCGACCCCATAGAAAACCTTTGGAGGGAGTTGGAAGTCTGTGTTGCCCAGCGACAGCCCCAAAACATCACTGTTCTAGAGGAGATCTGCATGGAGGAATGGGCCAACATACCAGCAACAGTGTGTACCAACCTTGTGAAGACTTACAGGAAACGTTTGACCTCTGTCATTGCCAACAAAGGATATATAACAAAGTATTGAGATGAACTTTTGATATTGACCAAATACTTATTTTCCACCATAATTTGCAAATTCTTTCCAAATCAGCCAATGTGATTGTCTGGATTTTTTTTCTCATTTTGTCTCTCATAGTTGAGGTCTACCTATGATGCCAATTACAGGCCTCTCTCATTTTTAAGTGGGAGAACTTGCACAATTGGTGGCTGACTAAATACTTTTTTGCCCCACTGTGTATGTGTGTGTGTGTGTGTGTGTGTGTGTGTGTGTGTGTATATGTATATATATTATATGTATATATATATATATATATATATATATATATATATATATATATATATATATATATATATATGAGAGAGATGTTCAAAATAATAGCAGTCAGACATCACTAACCGGATCAATCACTGTTTTTGGTAGAAATGATATTTCTACATGGCAAATAATTTACTAGCAGGTGTAGTAGAGTAATAGAAATTTAACAGACCCAACAGTCATGACATGCATGCTGCTGATTCTGTGTAATTGAATCACTAATTGAAAGGGCATGTTCAAAATAATAGCAGTGTGGAGTTCTATTAGTGAGGTCATTCATTCTTTAAAAAACAGGTGGCAATTATTGCCCTTATTTAAGGAAGGAACGCAGCAGATGTTGTACATGCTGGTTACAGTGCATTTCTCATTTGACAGTTTGTCAGACGACGACCCCAAAACACTGAATTCAAGCCACAGTACACTGTGAAGACAGTGAAGCGTGGTTGCACAAGCATCATGATATGGGAATGTTTCTCATACTACGGTGTTGGGCCTATTTATCGCATACCAGGGATCATGGATCAGTTTGAATACATCAGAATACTTGAAGAGGTCAGCTGCCTTATGCTGAAGAGGAAATGCCCTTGAAATGGGTGTTCCAACAAGACAACGACCCCAAACACACCAGTAAACGTGCAACATCTTGGTTCCAGACCAACAAGATTGACGTTATGGAGTGGCCAGCCCAATCCCCGGATCTTAATCCAATAGAAAACTTGTGGGGTGACATCAAAAATGCAGTTTCTGAGGCAAAACCAAGAAATAGAGAAGAACTGTGGAATGTAGTCCAATCATCCTGGGCTGGAATACCTGATCACAGGTGCCAGAAGTTGGTTGACTCAATGCAACACAGATGTACAGCAGTTCTCAGAAACAGTGCGACTACAACAACTAAATATTAATTAAGTGATTCAAAGGAAAGCAAAATCTTCAAACATTTTTCAGTTTATATAGTGAATGTTTGAGTTTGTAAAGAAGAATACAAACACTGCTATTTTTTTGAACAGTCTAATATTCACTTTTCTTCAATTTTTTTAGAGGAACAACACAAATTTGATATATTTTTCTTCATGTTTTGATTTGGAATAGAATGTGTAGTGTTCCCAATGCATTTGTGTGTATGGAAATAAAAGCTATTAGGATTTTGAGCTTTAGTCACTTTTTTCAACACACTGCTATTATTTTGAACACAACTGTATATATGTGTGTGTATATGTATGTATATACAATTACAATACTTTCAGTGTATATATATATATATATATATATATATATATATATATATATATATATATATATATATATATATATATATATATATATATCCCTTTTTATATTGTAAGCTCCACAAGCAGGGCCCTCACATTCCTTCTGTACTGAATGTATTGTAATTGTACTGTCTCCCTTATATTGTAAAGCTGCGCAAACTGTTGGCGCTATATAAATCCTGTATAATAATAATATCCTGGAGCTGCACAAGATGTTTTCCACAGATTTACAAACTGGGGATTTAAAATGTTTTTTGGTTTACTACTAGAAGTTTACATCCACCACAACTACTCCAGTGAAAAAAGCATCTCAGAAAATCGGCTACAGGCTGCGAAATCTACTGAAACTACCCAAAGCACATAAATGGTGTATATACGAATGGTTTTATTCCAATATTGACAAGTGAGTATTCTTCCAACTAACTCGCCTTCTGAACCTACACCTTTATAACTGTAATAAACTATGCTTATATTTTCTCTTTTGGAAAGAACTTTAGGTAATAGGTTAAAAGTTTCTTAGCTGATCTCTGAATTTTGGTAAATTGGACAAACCCATATCCAGTCCTCCCAAACATTTTTTTTTGCTTTAGTTACAGTGGAAATGGGATCAAATTTCCATCAGTTTCCCATTTCTGGTTGTGACCCCATTGAGGAGATTTTCCCTCACTCACTGTCCCTTTCACATACCAGATTTGGCAGGAGTGGTTGCCATACCAGAAAGACAAGGACAGCAATAACCATGTCACTTGTTTGCTGTTTACCATTGCCTACTTTTCTAGAAATGTTTCTGTACAGATACCTTGATCACTTTTACAGTACACCAAACAGGCTACAGCACAAATTAAAACCCCCAGCCACTGGTTTGTCTTCATCCTTTCACGGCAAGTTTAACGATCAAAATCTCCAGGTAGCACCTTTACCTCCTGAGGGATTTGCAGCTTCAAATATGAAATGTAAAAAACCATAAAAACTTAACTACAGCTTGGGCACTTTCTAAAAGAGTGTTTATATACAGATGACAGACAGGAAGGGGTTAAAGTAGGAAATGTTCAAAGGAGAAATTTATGATGCTGTCTGTCAATAATAATGAAGCAGCATTTGTTTTTCAGAGTCCCCCTTAACCCCATTGGTTTACTAGATTCTCATCTTGACAGTAGATCCATTTTGTGAAAACCTTTTGTTCTTTTTCCCCACTGGCTCTCCTGGCTCCCACCGGTAAAGCCAGTGAAACCAGGAAGTGAGGGGAGAGAAGAGCTGCAGACATGCACAGCGCTGGATCGAATGAGGGCTCATGTAAGTAAAAGGGGGGTATAGCAATGCCCTAAACCTTTTTACCTTAATGCAAGAAGTGCATAAAGGTAACAAATGTTTAGATTTTAGACCTCATGTACACTGGATATTTTGCAAAGTCACCTAGAAGCCTTTCCTCCTGGCAGCAGTGTTTTGGCAGAAGAAAAACATCTTCCCTTGTAAAAATGTGTATCAAGTTTAGGTACATTTTACAGGTGTCAGGCGCGTGGGCGTTAATTCATTGCATTGGCCAGAATAATAATTTATTCTGGACATTGAAATGAATTAACACTCAAGTGCTAAATGAGCTTAGTGTTAACATGTATTTACAAGTGTCAATTGGTTTTTCTGCCCACACTCTGCTGCTCCTGGACTGGCAGTGGGGGGTGTTTCTGCCACTAAACACTGCTAAAATCTGTGTGCATGAACACACAGGGGTTTATTAAAGTTGGTTCACTCAAAATCCTGTGCACTTCTACATAGAAACCAATCCGTTTACAGATTTTATTACCAAAACTTAATTGAACAAGCTGAGGTTATAAGCTGATTGGCTGCCATGCACAGCTTCACCAGATTCTGAATGAACCAGCTTTAGTAAATAAACCCCGTAGTTTATCATGCAGGGGAATTTAAATCCAGAAATAGAAAAAATCTGATGCCCCTAGAAGCAAGTGCAAAAATGTCCAGTGTGCATGAGGCCTGATTACCACTTTAATAACTTCGCCTTCCACACCTGTTCACCCTCTAAGGACCAGAGCAGCTTTAACATTTCTGCTATGGACCTGTTTATTTAGCAATAATGTTCTCTTTACTAAAGATAACAAGGCAATACATATATTATTTTAACCGCTTGCCGACCGCCCTATAGCAGAAATACTGCTACAGGGCGGCAGCGGTGCACAAAATCACATGTATATTTACGTGATTTTACATTTCCAGGTAAGGGATGCGCGCCCTACCCACGCCACCATTCGCGGCCGCGGCTGTCAATCACCGGACCCTGGCCAGTAATTACTAGTCAGCGCCCGGTGATTTCTGAGGACCTGTGACTAACAGTCGTCCTCCCTGTCAGCTCGGGCATACTGCTGCGGATGGCTGTGCACAGCCTTCCACAGCAGTGTGATTACAGTGAATCACACACACCACCCCCTAGTAAAACACTCCCAGCACACAGTTAACCCTTTGATCGCCCCTTATGTTAACCCCTTCCTGCCCAGTGTCATTAGTACAGTGTCGGTGCTTTTTTTTTTTTTTTTTTTAGCACTGATCACTGTATTGGTGTCACTGGGGATGTCAGTGACACCAAGTCAGTTCCCCCCAGTGTCAGAATGTCTGCCGCAGTCCCGTTATAAGTCGCTGATCGCTGCAATTACTAGTGAAAATGAAAAAAAAAAAAAATCCCAGTATATATATACCGCCATTTGTAAACTTTCATGCAAACCAAGTAAGTTACACTTATTAGGATTTTTTTTCTTTTTGCAAAGACATGTAGCAGAATACATTTGGGCCTAAATTTTATGACAAAATTTTTTTTTTTTTTTTTTACTAGACATGTTTAATAGCAAAAAGTCAAAAATTTTGTTCTTTTTTTTTCCAAAAATTGTCGGTCTTTTTTTTTTTTTTATTGCAAAAAATATGAACCGCACAGGCAATCAAATACCACCAAAAGAAAGCTCAATTCATGGGAAAAAGGACATAAATTTCATTTGGGTGCAGCGTTGACCGCGCAATTGTCAAAGTAACACAGTGGCCTAATGCAAAAAATGGCTTGGTCAGGAAGTGGGGTAAATCCTCTGGAGGGCAAGTGGTAAAACACAGCAAAACTAAACAAAACGCAATTTTTCTTTAGCAGTGTTAAACAGTTCCCGCTTGGCCAATAATAAAATGACGGGCGAGTGGGACTTTCATTGATCCGGGTGTGCGTCATATGACATCCCCCCAGATTGCGCCTCGTGCGAACCTGCGGGTCCGCGCTGCGGCGAGATCTTGTCTGATGGACACAGCCGATGACTTATCTGTGTACCGGCCCATTGCTGGTACCATGTGACCAATCACAGCAGATCACATGACAATTGTAAACAGTGGATGGCTTCCTTTCATGCCATCCATTGCATAAAATCATGTTGCTACCTAATCACAATCACAGCCCATCTGTGTCATGTGACTGGCTGTGACCAATCACCGCTTATCACAACATAAAAACATTGAATGATTCTATTTTATTTAGTTAAATGTTTGCCTATAGCAGTGCAGTTCACTGCTATAGGCAATCATAATGTGTAAAAAAAAAATAGTACTGATCACTTCCCCAGAGTAGTACAATGTTACTATGGTATATGATGATACTGCACTGCACTGGTGACATTATGTAAAAAAAAAAAAAAAAAAGTGAAAATGTGTGGTTTTTTTTTTTTTTTTTTTTCGTTTTTCAAAAAAAAGTGACAAAAAATTACATAAGCTCTCCATGCCCCTTAATAAATACCGCAGACTGTCTGCTTTCCAAAAAGGGGTCATTTGGGCGATATCTGTACTATCCTGGCATTTTTGGGCCTTAAGAAATGAGAGAGGCTGTCAGTACATCAGGACTGATCGAGTCCTTGTTTTATTTGTGTGTGTCTTCAATAAATTAATTCAATCACTGTGGATATATTCAACATCATTCTGTGCCTTCATGTTATGACAATTGTGCACCTCCACCAACACTCCAGATGTGACCTCACTTGGAGACTATGACCTCACATAAAAATGTTTGGTCAAAGAGCGCCTGTGTCCCTTTAAATTGAACTTATTAATGGAGCTTCTTGTGTTTTGGATGGTCGTTCACCTCCTCCTTATAGATCCTTCTCCTCCATACTCCTACGTTCAGTATAAAAATGAATAGGCAAGAAATAGTGCTTTATCCTTTAAAACATGCTTTTTTTTATTTCATAAAATTTTAAAATTAGCCACTCACATATTACGGGTGCTATATCGCACCAAATATAGCCAGCAAATCTACATTCACTCAGTACTGTATAATTGTTAGTGTTCTCGTAATACCGTTCCATGTTCCCAAGTCTGTGTGCTAGCCACTGGTGTGACGTCATAAAGCCCTTCCCCTACACGTTTACAACACAGGGTCATGTGGCTTCCTCAGGGGGATGTGATCACATCTCCCTGAGGAAGCCACATGACTCTGTGGCACAGTGTAGAACAAGGCATGGTAATTTACCAGTTACAACATCATCAGCCACATCATCAGTGATTGCTATACTTTGGTATAATATACGTAAAATAAGTGGAATGTTCGTTTGTAAAATTTGAACATTACGTTCTTACAATGCCTTGATTAATGTTAATGTCTTCTCTCTGTTGTTTGCAGACCCCTCTTTGAAGGTGATAATGATTTCTGTGTGTTTGCCTAAAAGAGTCTTTCCCAAATCTCAAAACAAGGAAACTAACCAGAGTGGAATGGGGCAAAATCAGACGGCTTATGGGGAAGCCACGAAGGTAAACAAGGATGTTGAAGTGTAGAAAAGACTACTGAATGCCCACTTGGTAGTGAGTCACTCACTTGGAACAAGCATGTAGAATTGAAGGGCAGACGTTTCAGGCTTGACTGGCTCCTTCCTTGTTCCATATCAGTGACCATTGAGTTAGGCTACGTTTTATTTATTATTTATTTCAGGTACTTATATAGTTCCATCAATTTACGCAGCGCTTTTACATATATATTATACATTCACATCAGTCCCTAACCCTCAAGGGGCGTACAATCTAAGGTCCCTAACCTACATTCATTCATTACATACACATACTAGGTCCAATTTAGACAGGAGAAAATTTACCTACCAGCATGTCTTTGGAGTGTGGAAGGAAACCGGAGTACCCGGAGGAAACCCACGCAGGCACAGGGAGAACATGCAAACTCCTGGCAGGTGGTGTCGTGAATGGGATTTGAACCAACGACCCTAGTATTGCCAGGAGGAAGTGCTAACCATTTAGTCACTGTGCTGCCCACGTTCACACTAGCTTTGTCAGCAGGCGTCAAGACAGGCGTTTGGGAAGCGTTTTTAACGCTTATCAAACGCCTATGAAAATTCTGCACATGGCAGCACACAGTGCTGTTCACACGGAAGCGTTAGCGTCATGTCGCGGCAAAATTGACACCACGGGTCGAGTCAGGAGGAGTTAAAGCCTCCCATTCAAGTCTTATGGTGCTGCTCCGCGGTGCAGTTGCGAGCCGTTTGCGGAGTGTTAATACCATTTAACTTCATTATAGGAGTTTGTGGTGCTGTTTTAATGCTTGGCAAGCGCCTGTCAACCGCCTCAAAACCGCGCATAGGTCGTTTTGGGAGCGTTAAAAATGCTTCACAAACGCCTGTCAAACGCTATGGGGCGTTGGCAAGAGTTAGAAATAAAGTCAAGTGTGAACGAGCCCTTAGTGAAGCCAGTGGTCAGGATGACAGCTTTAAAGCCTGCACATTTATGACAGCCCCTGTATTTCCTACTCAGTCTGCTATTAACTATTTATTTGCCATGGACATAAGGCTTATGTCAGCCTGCTTTCAGCTGGCCAGGTCCGAAAGCCTTACATTCATTGAATCTCCCTTCCTATACCAGAAATGTTTTTAGACTCTGAGCAAAATAAATAGCTGTGATCAGCAGTTGAGAAGCCATTGACCACAGCTATTCGTTCAGAAAGTGTCCACCCCCTTGCAACGACTGCTTACTGCACTGTTCCTCCGTGCTGCATGTCAGTGGCTCTGGGTATTCAGAGGAAGGTCGGATCTTCAGCATAGCAAGCTTAGTGGTAGGTCAGTAAACATGTTTCTCATGTTTATCAACCCCCTAAATGAACACTGGAATGCTCTTATTGTCCACTCGGCATGAAAGACATAGAAAACAGTCACATATTTACTATGTCTTCAGTTTCTGAATGAACGCTCAGTGTTCTGTACTGAGCAATTTGTGTGTTCATTACAGAGTGCATGGCTGCAGAGGAGGAGGAGATTGAGGTCTCTGACTGTACTGTAAAAAAAATATGAAAAATAAATTATTACAGAATAAAATAAGAAACTGAATCCCTCCACCTATAGTTTTATGTGTGAATAATAATTTGAGTGTATTTTTAGTGAAAATATTGTTTGATAAACATTTATTCATCTTTCTTCGGCCCTACAAAATCAGTAGCATCATCTTTCAATGTTATCGGTCCTTTGCTTTAAAAAAAAAAAAGTGTGGTACAGGTGATCCTTTTATGAACTTTGAAAGCTGTAAATGGAAAATAAAAAAGTAAAAGGTGTTACCCCCTTCATGACCAGGACAGTTTTTTTGCTATTCAGCACTGTTCTACTTTAACTGGAAATTGTGTGATCATGCAATACTGTGGCCAAATTTATATAATTTTTATTTTTCACACAAATAGCGCTTTCTTTTGGTAGTATTTGATCACCACTGGGTTTTTAATTTTTATTATATAAACAAACAAGACCAAATAGTTTGTTTAAAAAAAAAAAATAAAACATTTTCTACTTTGTTATAAAACATATCCAATAAAAAATCAAAAAGTCAAATTTATTCAGAAATTAGGCCAAAATGTATTTTGCTACATCTTTTGGTAAAAAAAAAAATTCACAATAAGTGTATATTGGTTTGTGTGAAAGATATAGCTTCAACAAACTATGGAGTGTGTGTGTATATAAAAATTTATGCAGCTATAGACACTATACTGGTAATAGCTGTGATCAGCGACTTGTACTGTGGTGAGCAATTTGGCGCTAATAGACCCTCGCAAAGAGGTACATGAACTGACTGACCCTGATATCGCTAGTGACATTTATACATTGATCACTGATAATATTGTGCACTGACACTGTACTAATGACACTGGCTGCAAAGGAGTTAGCATCTAGGGTCAATCAAGATCTAAACTGTGTGCTCAACAAGTGTAATGTGTGTTACTATTATTTTTTATTTATTTTTTTTTTTTAACTAATCTGGCTGTTTATTCTCTCTGCTTTTCAGAGAGAAGAAACAGCCAGATTGCTGTTCACTACTGCACTTGTAAACACAGAACTCTGTGTGTGTGATTGAACATAGCCAATCAGCAGGTTTCAGACAAAATTATTGGCTAAAATCTGCTGCCAAATTCATGCAAAAGGCAGGTGATGTACATGTATGTGACCGTGTCTGTACCTGCTGCCCGCTCGCAGTATATTTACTGTGAGTGCTTGACAGTAGGCCCTGGCATTGAGAAGGGGTAAAAGGAAATCAATAGTACATTCCGTTCAACCTAAAGTCTCTCAGTTAATTGTTTAACTCTTATGTGAACTTAACCAGCTTAATCCTTATTTTTTTTTTTCTTTTCTTTTTGGTATTATAACATGTTCCCACCCGGCCTATAGCAGATTGACGGCTGGGTGGGACACTCGCCGTTATGACTGGGCGTCATATGACATCCTGTCAAATGCAGCTGGTCGCAGGGCCATGCAGCAGCAAGATCTGTCACTGGCTGTGTCCCATGGACATATCACTACACCGACCCGTTGCCAGTGTCATGTAACCAGAGCAGATCACATGTCGATTGTGTACAATGGATGGCTTCCTGTCATGCCATTCATTGCATACAATTGTGTTGTTAGCTGTGATTGATCAAAGCAGTAACATGGTACAGACAGGGCCAATCACAGCCCATCTGTATCATTTGATGAGCTTTGCCCAATCACAGCTAATCACAAAAAAGACTGAATCCGTTTCATTCAGTAACAAGGATTGGAAATATCAGTGAAATACATTGGTATTAGCAAAAAAAAAAAATCCTGATCACTTGCCCCGAGTAGTTCAATATTACTATGGTAACATTGTATTGCTTTGGTCACAGTGTGTTTTAAAAAAAAAGAATTTAATAAAACAGAAAAATTAAAAATTTAATTATTTATATATTTTTTACATACTGTCATTAGTCCATGTCCCTGATCACCGCAACACCAGTTATATAATCACACAGTACTGGACTGGATATGTAAAAAAAAAAAGATTTTTTAATTTCTACATTTTTTCCAAAAAATTACAACCTCCAAAAAAATCACCATGCCTTTTACTAAATACCTTGGACTGTCTTTTTTTTTTTTTTTTTTTTTTCCAAAAATGGGTAATCTGGGGGGGGGGGGGGGGGGGTATTTGTACTATGCTGGCGTTTTTAGGCCTCAAGAAATGAGATTGGCTGTCAGTACATTGATCGATTGTTAAATATATATACCATGGTTTGTGGACTTTATAACTTTCCTACAGACTAAATAATATACACTAATTTGGGGTATTTTCACCAATGAAATGTAGCAGAATACACTTTAACCTAAATTTATGAAGAAAAGTTCTTTATTTGCTAAATGTTATAACAAAAATTGAAGAAAAAGGAGTTTTTTTTTTTCAAAAGTTTCAGGATTTTTTTATTTAGCAAAAAAAATAAAAAAAACTCTGTGATTAAATACCACCAAAAGAGAGCTCTATTTGTGTGAAAAAAATGATAAAAACTTTTTATGGGTACAGTATTGCATGACCGCACAGCTGAAAATTGGCCTGGGGAGGAAGGGGGTAAAAGTGCCCAGTATTGAAGTGGTTAATGAAAATAGTAATCATCTTTGTAAATGAGTACAGTCATGCTTTCTCTTTACATACAGAGGTTCTTCTTCCTGTTAGTGGTTCTATACAATGGACTTATCTCATTACTGCTTTTTGTAGGTGAAATGAAGTCCTCAAAATATTGAAACGGCAAGCCATAAAATGGTACAAAAATATAATTTGACCACATGCTGTAACGTTTTAAAAATATGGTGATGTGTTCTTAAGATGGATCCTTCTTAATATATAATAAATGTCTGGGAAGCTCAGCTCAAAGGGAGTCTCGCCTTTTGTTGGATGGAATGGAGATATGACCTCAGGGTTATCTCACTAGAGTAGTCTCTTGGAGGCAGTGGCATACCGAACTCATCTGGCAACTAGAGCAGATCATTTTACATTTTTTCATGCATGCTGGGAACGGGTGCAAAATTAGCTGGTGAAGGGCAGACATTAACATCTGTGTGAACGATTGTAACTTTATGCATAGTTACTGAACATGGCATATCTTTCCACCCGATGTTAAGGAGTTCAAACGTACGATCTCCTGCACAGTTTATAACATTTTAAAATAGTTGTGGGAAAGGGGGGACTTGTAGGTATCAAGAAGATACCCCAGAATTGGTGTCAATGGCCGCAATAAAACACCCTTTATTGGAGATCAGTGGTAGTAATAGGAACCTCTGAGCATTGGTGGTCAGTGACAGGCTGTAAAATGAAAAAAGTTCCCCTTCCCATATATTCACCGCTTATAAAATAGAAAAACGTATGCTGAATAGGAATAGAAAGTAATACTCTCCAAGGTTAGTTGTTAGTGACACTAAACTATGGTATTAAAAAAAAAACAAATATGCAAATATATATTCTTAACTATTTTTAAGAACCTTCTATTGCTCTCGATCTCCTCCAGATTATTTTTTTAACTGCTGTCAGAGTTTGATAGAGGTTGGCTAGGTTCATTCTCCCTGGTCCCACTGTATTTAGGAATGTAGCTACCCTCGCCTGCTTGCTCCCGAGATGGACTAGGGACCACAACTAACATGCACAGCTCGTTCCAAACAAATGAAAATAACAGGGAAAAGGGGAGGTTCAGGAGCTCACGGAGGACATTCTAAGGAGGCCAAAAACATTTAATGAAAAATAGATTTGAGGACTGTTAAAGTATTATTATAATTATACAGTATGTATATAGCGCCAAAAGGTTTGCTCAGCGCTGTACATTATAGTGGGGGACAGAACGAGACAATACAGTAACAAAACAATACACGAGGGGTTCGAGGGCCCTGCTCTTTCGAGCTTACAATCTAGGAGTTTCCCTTTTAAGGATTGGTCCACGCTCCTCTTGAGGAATTGGCACATTTGGGGAGTGGCGGGGGAGCCGGTGCCTGATTTTGATAGGTACCCGCTCCCACTTCTACTTCCGATTGCTTAAGCAGTCAGAGCAGAAGTTGTCCTCTGCTTCTGTGATTAGTAGTAGCTTTGGGAGATGTGAGTAAACAGATCTTTATCGCTTCATCGCTCTCCCAGCTAGAGCCATACAAAGTTTTAATCAAAGAGAGCATCTGAAGGCAAACTGCAATATTCTCCCTTTAGAAAACCCATAATGCTTTGTGATGGCTGTTGTGGCTGCATGCGTTTTTTGTTTTGTTTTTTGTTTTGTGTTTCTTTTCTTTAGACTTTTTTCCCCCACATCATCTGGTGATTCCGCTAGTAAGTCTGTTATTTGTTTTCTGTTTTAACAGACCAAGCTGTCCAGCAAAAGTGTCAGAGGGTTAAGACAAACCATTTAAAGTGGGACTGAAGTGAAGACTGCAAGTAGACTGGCTGTTATCGCAGAAAAAACATGCAATGTCTCTTCTGCGTTAAAGGAATAAAAACATCTACCTGCCTCCTCGCAGTCTTCTAAATCATGTAAACTGAGCTTTGCATGTGCAGCTCAGCTTACAGTACCAGCCCAGTCCCTGTGTGTTGGATTGACTGACCCCTGAGCTTGCGCAGCAGGTATGTTATCCAGAGCCAGAAGATGATGCCAGAACACCGGCGCCCCGGGACAAGATGCTGGCAAGGGACCTGAACTGTTGGACATGAGATAAATCTAATGGCATTAGGTTCACTTTAACAGTGCCAGAGGTGATTACAATAGTCAGCTGACGATGCTGCTGTCCAAGGGTGGCGCTATTGCTCCTCCATAGAGTGGAGCCACCACCCTGAGACAGGAAGTGCATTACAGGCCACATCACCAGGTGAAAAAAAGTCTAAATAAAAAAAACTAATGCAGTCACCACATTTAAGGATTGGTAAGCTGCAGTATACTACATTTTTGTTTCCAGTTTAAGATAAGCTTTAAAATGTGTTGTATGACAAATGATGACTGGTGTTGGTTAAATGCTCTCAACAAAGTGATGTGTATTTTTGACACTTGTTGCAGAAACTCTTTAGCTGGAAATTCTGTGCTCTGCTAAAACTACTGCAATAGTTTTAAGAATAGGAACAGTCTTCCTGGTCTGAAATGGAGTACTCGGCCCTGAATATTATTGGAAAATGTCCATAAACTAATCTTTGTCCAAATCCATGAAATGTCAGCCAGTTTGCACAAAGCGTTGCAGTTGAGGTTTCCTATGCATTACGTTTGTCTTGTTGACTTTGTAGATGTTCTGCCGCATTCTTCGAGGAAGAGCGATCGGCTCTGGAACAGAAACGACAGAAAATACGCCTCTTACAGCAGAGGAAGGTAGCAGACGTCTCTCAGTTCAAGGATCTACCAGATGAAATTCCCCTCTCTCTGGTTATTGGGACTAAAGTTACAGGTAAAGAATGTTTACAGGGGAATCCTGCAGTTGCAGGTCTTCCTGGTGAGTGGTGGAACTTGTATGGGTTATATTTTATTTATTTATTACAGGTACTTGTATAGCGCCATCAGTTTACATATATATTTTCTACATTCACATTAATCCCTGCCCTTAATGAACTTACAATGTGAGGTTCCTAACTCACATTCATACATACATACTAGGGCCAATTTAGACAGGAGCCAATTAACCTATCAACTTGCCTATTGGAGTGTGGGAGGAAACCAGAGTACCCGGGAGGAGCAAGCACAAAGAGAACATGCATACTGCAGGCAGGTAGTGCCGTGGTTGGGATTTTAAACTGATGATCCTAAGTCCTAGTTTTTTTGGGGGGGGTTTTGGTTGTGTCTAAAAAGTGGCATTTCCCTATGCCAAATACATCTTGGCATTTCTAGCCACTGAGCTTGTTGCCACTGCTATAAAATGGTAGTGGATTTTCTAGCGCTTTTAGTATATGACACCACTAAGGAATACGGTCTGTGAATTTCACCGGGGTAGTCCTCTTGTGCTTGGATCGATTATTAAACCGCTTGCAGGTCTAATGTGAGATTGGACAGTAAATGGCAATCTCGCCACCCAAACTTCTGTACAACTAAGAATGCTGGGAGATGCCACAAATATATTTCCCTTTAAAATATATTTAGCTGCTCTTGAGAGGAATCAGACTCCTGACAGCCAGTGTTTTCTAAATAGGACATGTATCACTGGTGATGACCCTCATTGCAAAAGTGACTTTGCGGGTCTCAGAATCTCTGTGCTGAACTGATTTCACAAATATACTGCCTCTACTATCGATGAGCAGATACCACAGGGGAGCATTGGCTTAGATGTGTCGCAGTGGACATATTGGAGTAAACAATATCCCAACAATTGGTAGTGTAACCAGGTGGTACTTGTTTTTAATAGTATAGCTTGCACTCAAACAATGTAATGGTGGACTTTCGGTGGTTGTACTGGAGTGATGCCTAGAGCTACAGGCATCACCCCAATACCATTTTGTAGAGCCGGCGGTCGACTCTTTTGTACAAGCAGTAGGAGGGGACGTCCAGCTCATCCCCCCCCCCCCCCCCCCCCCAATCCGCTAAGCTCTCAGGATCTCCTGTTCCACCAGGAGTCCCGAGCGAACAGCCGGTGCATCCGCTGGCTGACCGCACAGCCAAACAGTTAGAATCGGCTTTGGCTCTCCTTTATTGTAAACCAGAAGCAATGACTGGACATCACTTTCGGTTTACTCGGAAACTTTCTGCACCATTTTTAAAAGTCTGAAAGCATTCAAAAACACAATTCTTGGTGTTTTTAATGCTGTCAAGTGCAGAGGAGGGATTTGCGGTCTCATAGACTCCAGATCCCTCCAGAAAAATACCTGTCAGGTGTCTTTTGCTCTCACATGGGATGTATGCATTCCTTGTGACAGCAATAAAAGTGATAAAAATTTAACTTGACCAGTGTAAAAAAATAAAAAAAGAATAATTAAGAAAATAGAAATAAAATAAAGTGCCCCCATGCTGCATGCAAAAGTCAATGCATGCATCTGTCCCACTAGCATGCAAACAGCGATCATCCCACACATGTGAGGTATCACCGTGATCATCAGATCATTCTAGCACTAGACCTCTGTAAATCTGAAGTGGTAACCTGTACAGGCTTTTAAAGTGTCGCTTATGAATAGTAAAACTTGTGCTGTTGCACGGGGTGTGCACAATTTTAAAGCACGACATGTTATATCTATTTAACCATCTTTTATATTGTACAAAAAAATTGGGTTATGTATTGTTGCAATAAAATTTGAACTGTATTTTTTTTCCCAAAAATTGCATTTGAAAAACCACTGCGCAAATACTGTGTGACATAAATTTTTTTGCAAAAGCCAACAATTTTTTTTCTCTAGGGCCTCTGTTTTAAAAAAAAAAAAAAAAAAAAAATGTTTGGCGTCACGAAGACATTTTCTAGCAAAAAATACTGTAAACAAAAAGTGCCAGAAATGGCTTGGGGTTGAAGTGGATATAGGCCGTTTACTGATAAGAATGATGTTACAATTTCAGGACTAAGTATTCGTATGTGCTGCAGTGAAGAAAGGGAGTGGTTAGCCTGGTCATCAATTTCTTTGCATGGCACATCTTCAGTCAGAATTTTCTAGGTTGGTCAGAGGTCTGAACGTGATTAATATGCCCCCTAATGTTACTATGAAAAAAAAATGGGTGTAATGGCCCTACCTCTTAAGGCGGGGTATCACCACTGTTCCTTCATTAATTGCGTATTGAAATAGAACGTGTACAGTGATATCAGCACTGCTCTCTGCATAAGCAGACAATTGCCCTAGCCTGAAGATATATATATAAAAAAAAAAGCACCATGGAAGGGGGGCAGTTGGATGGGGGGTGTAATCTGGAATTGGCCTTTAACAATAGAACTGTGGTGTTTATTAGACTTTACTATGGCAAAGGCCAGTGATAGGGTTGTTGGTGCTTGTTCAGAAGGGCACCTTTTCCAATAAATATATCATTCTAAACTGGTATGTGTATCTAGCTCACAATTGGTATTCTTTTTTTCCATTTTCCCTCAGCTCGGTTACGAGGAATACACGATGGCTTGTTCACTGGTCAGATCGATGCTGTAGACACCCAAAATTCCACTTACAGGGTCACATTTGATAGAAATGGACTCGGTACACATACAATCCCAGACTATGAAGTCCTGGTAAGTTTGCTTTGTGTACACAGCCTTGTCATTTACAGTTTGTCTTGTAGAGTTCTGAAAGAAACTATTCTTGTAAAACTAAAAGTGTGAGTTGGTCCGTTCTGCTAAACTCAGGCATAGCTCTTTGTCTTTAGCAACAGTAGATGAGATCTTCTTAAGAGATATCCGTCTCTGAACCTACTTGACTTTAAAGTGTCACTACCTTTTTATATGACAAACAAGAATTTCTAGAATTTCTACCTTTTTATACGGTCACTGTTCAACCACTAGAAAAGGATGATAAAAGCCCTCTCACATCTGCTCTCTGTTTCTAATCCTGGCCTTGTAAGAAGAAAGCATTGCTTAAATTGGTCATAATGTGGGGAGAACGAAATGTACATGACTGATCCTCATACAGTTTTTGTCATATACAAAGCACTGTTATTAAATTACTTTCCCATCTGATCATCACCAGCTAAAATATTGGTAATGGATACCTCAGCTATTTGAACACTTTTTTCCCCCTTGATGCCAGGAGCATCTGCTTTTTAAAGCACACCTATGCTTTGGCCATAGAGAAAGCAACAGGTTTACTAAAATGCTCAGGTCCCAGCAGCAATATTTTTGCCTTTTTTAGGCGGCCTAACACTCTATTTCCCCACCTCCATGTTGACAGCACTGGACCAATCCCAAAATGCCCATGCTGTCACACAGTAGGAAGGGGGAGTGAGTAACATGCTTTTTGGAAGCATCTGGAATTTTCTTACCACCTGTCAAGGGAGCAAAAGAATGGCATGAGCAGTTGGGGAGAGAGACATTAAAGGAAAACGTTGTTACTTTACTCTGTGTAGGCAAAACAAAGGTCATGTAAGATCATTCAACTATTCAAATACACTGCTTTTCATATGGCAAACTGATGCCCAGAGCCTTAAGCTGCTGCTCTCCCTTAAAGGCCTCAAAAACATTCATATTACCTTCAGAGGAGTATCATTGAGACCTTTTCCAAGAAGCTATCTATTTTAGACTGCCCTTTGTTCGCAAGGTTGAGAGATTCCCTGAGATATCAAACAGCTGAAGTGAAAGATGTAGTTATTAAAAAGTCAATTCTCTACATGTGTGTGACTGTCATATAGTCTCTCCTATTGTCCTCAAGCCATGTGAGTTAATATTACCAACCTGGACTACTTAAATATGTTGGAGACGGGGACAGCCCCACATGAAGTCATCCAGTGGGAACCTGTCAAGCATCTGATTCTGGAGGGGTATGGAAGATGTAGTAAGATGATCACAAGCAATAAGCAGTTGTAGTTGTGTCAGAACATTTTCCATCATGCCAGTTAGATATTTGTGGACATTTTGATGTGACAAGGCAATCTGCTTTACCCTGTGCACATGCTGATTTAGCCTAATGTAGGTAATACTGGGGTAATTTGTAGAAGTAATGGAGAAATTCTCTCCCCTCCTTTCCTGGCACTAGTGTACCAGAAGCTTAATAGTAGTCATAAATCACTGTAAGAACTTGGCCGGCGAAGTACATGCAGCATGCATCTGATGGTCAGGTGATCTGCGTTGTCTTAAGGGATAAGTTCACCTTTTAGACAAAAATAATAAATGTACATTTTTTTGCAGGTAAAAAAATGTGCATTTATTATTTTTGTCTACAGGAACCTGGAAATCATAGCACCAGCGATCAGTAGATCTCTGATGCCATGCAGGTCTCCTGCAGACCTGTCAGAATATCTGCTTGCCATACGGGTTGTACGAGCAAGCGTATATTCTGACAGAAAGCTTCAATAAACTACCACGATACTCCACAGCGCTGTGGTAGTTCACTGAAAAGTACAAGCTGACAGCTACTAAGGCTGTTGGGACTTGCAGTTCATTCACAGAAGTCTGTGAATGAATGATGCAGCCTTGTGGGGGCAAATTTGACAGGTAGTATGGGAAGAAGTCTCCCCGTACTGTCAGAGGGAGGGGGGCGGTGGTTGCGCCTTTGGTAACATGTTACGTATAATCAAAATAATGAAAAAAGCCCCTGCGCTTAGATAGCCCTAACAAATATAAAGCTGCTAGCACCTACTGTGTACCAATGAATACCATAAACCAAAATATATTGTAAATGGTGCAGCGCTACCAATTATATACAGCCAACCCTAAATATAGAAAATGCATGCACATAAGTTAAAATATTCACAATTGTATGGGTGAATAAACACCCTTAATAAACATATTTAGCAAAAAATGACATATATCAATCACTGGTGCCAAGGTGACACACACTTAATTTGTGACTAAGAGGTGATGAATCGGTCCACTTTAAGCACACAAGTGAGGAACTCTTCATACACGTGAATGTGTCATACGTGCCAAAAAATCCCAAAATGGTCTGAGTGCCCCCTCACCTCCTTGCAATGACCTCAAGGGCCAACCAGTGTTCTAATAGTATTCTGACAATCTCCTGCAGATCCCTTCTATACGACCGGGATGACAGTAGCTTTAGCCAGACCTCCTCCTGCACTCCACCGCTCTGGCCACACCTCTAGGGTCCACTCAGAGACACAAACAAAACAGGCTCCATAGTGCAATATTATTAAATGAAAATTAAAATACCCACTCACATGTTAGTAGGTAACCGCAAACATCCTCAGTTGTCCTCATGACATGTACTTCATGGAGTCCCAATATGGCACGGGCGCGCGAAATGGCGCCGGAAATGACGATGGACGTACATGTTACGTGTTCCACCCTAAAAATGGGTGGAACATGTAACATGTTCCCAAAGGTGATCTTATCCTTTAATAGTCAGGGTTATATACTAATCACACCAGGTACAGGTGCTGGAGCAGCAAGAATATTGACTCCTATTTAAAAATGGTGTTTAAAGATTTAAAGTCTAAGTTCACCTTTTTCAGAAAAAATGGAAGGGTGACCAAACAATCTCCCCTCCCCATCCCTGCTGCACTTGCACGTCTGTGGGTGATGCTGGGACAGAGCAGAGTGGTTCTGACTGCGGCTGATCAGAACTGCTGTAAACTGTCCCGGCGTCCATAAGGAAAGAACAGTGCAGATTTCAAACCTTGGGACCACTGCACCATGCTGCATGGACAGTGAAATTGTTTCACACACAGATGTTAGTGCATCAGGGACCCAGTGGGTGGGGAAGGTGTAGGGTTTTCACCTTTTGAAAAGGTGAAATAGCCCTTTATTGGCTTGGTTTGGCATGCAGGTATCCAAACATGAGCAAGCTGACACACCCTTTTAGCCCTGGTTCACACCGGTGAAGTAGCATGATTTCAAAGTTGCATTCAGTGTGAACCAGGTCTTAATGCAATTTTATTCAAACGTTTCTGCACATTTTCAGAGCAATGAGCCACATGAAACAATGCCCATCGCTTCCTTTGGACAAAAACAGCGGCCTTCCCGAATGTTCATGACTCCACCACGGTTACAGTACCCTCCACCTGTCCAGTCACCCATTATGGTGAGTATTTTTCTAATGTGTTCATTTATTTGTTTTTTTAAGAACAATAATATTGAGGAAAATAAAAGTGAAATGTAGCCCAGACTTTTTTTTTTTTTTTTTGTGCTAGGAGGTGGAAAGGGTTCAAATATCCTTCAGGTTTTATTCCAACTTGGACAGAAGATGACAGCATTAAAGCTGAACTGCTTTACAGTGCTGTGTTACTAAAATGTAATTATATATGTTAATACTAGCTGCACAAGTACCTGAGTGGGGCTGGGGGGTGATGTTACAAATTAATGTACACATTGGAGTTGTTTTTAGAGTTAAAACAGCTTATTCCAATGTGTAGATTTACCATTTGGCACTGCTTTCTTTGTTTTGTGATGCTTATGTTTATACCACATTTTAGGAAAGTGATACCTTGCTGGCACAATCTCCCTGGAAAAGCAAATCATCCATCACAGACAATAACACAATAGGGGGATTTCCAGTGGAATTCCTTGTTCAGGTGGTAAGTAAATTAGTACTTCATACTGGAATATCTGCAATATAACGCTCTTGGAAGTTTCCAACTGTAGCCTTTTCCTTCCCTGTGGAGTATTTTTTAATGTGAACTTTAGCATCATATATTTGATATCTATTTTTAACATTCAGGTTTATTTTATTTTCTATTTTTTTTTTCTTTAGACAAGGTTATCAAAGATCCTTATGATCAAGAAAGAACACATCAGGCAACTAAAAGACATGAACACAGAAGCAGAAAAACTGGTGAGGCTTAGTTATTTCCCCCTTAGGTGAACTTGAGTTCGGGCTGCTGACATTTTTAAATATTAAAAAGAGCAAATGAACTTTAAAACATGTTCTTGGTGACCTCTGTAGCTGCTGATACTGTGGAGGATTTCATCCTCAAAGTTCACAGCACTGACTTAATACAGTTCATCCCTGGAGCTCATCTCACTCCTGCTCCCCTTCCCAACAGTGTCTATGCAGCTTAATGTGATACTAAAGCGAAAAAGGTGTTTTAACCTTAATATATTCCTTGCATTAAGGTAACAAATGTATTCTATTTATCAGCAGCTCAAAGACTGGTATTTTGGGTCAGTAGTATGCTGTGAGCTGGACAGACAGATATTTGGCCTGAGGTCTGCAGATTTTGTTCCTGCTAAATGAAGGGAGTTAATCTGTGATCTCATTTCTGTGAGAAAATGAAAGCACGACTGCATCTTTTCTCATCCATTGAGGGACACAGGAAGTAATAAACCTTTGGATTATACTACTGCTTATAGGAGGATTGAACAACGGCAAACAAAAAAAATAAATCTGTATGCCAGACCATGATAAACCTTCTATGACCAACATGCCACTGCTTTTGCTAATGTCCTAGGACAGTGGTGGGCAACCTTTTTTTTCAACTGAGCCAAATCTCGCCAAAACCACGATTGAAATTTATTTTGAGAGCCACATTTTTAAAACTGAAAATACATCCCCCCTATAGTAATTCATCCCCCCTATAGTAATTCATCCCCCATATTCATCCCCCATAGTAATTCATCCCCCATATAGTAATTCATCCCCCATATAGTAATTCATCCCCCCTATAGTAATTCATTCCCCATATTGTGTCAATTCACTTACCTTTGCTCCGCGCATTCCTCTCGCCGTGTTCCCGCGCCGTTCCGGTCTTCAGGGCGGACTGTGAGAGGAGAGGAGTTTGTCACGCTGCCCCGCCTACATCCTGACAGCCAATGTTTGCCACGCTCCGCGGGCCGGATTAAAAGGTCCGCCGGGCCGTAGTTTGCCCATTGCTGGGCTAGCCGCCCGAGAGGAGGGAGGGGAGCGGGCGCCCAGCACACAGAAGAGCCGCATTAAAGAGTGTAAAGAGTGTAAAGAGCCGCATGTGGCTCGCGAGCCGCGGCTTGCCGACCACTGTCCTAGGAGGATGGACATTTTTCATCTAGCTCTGCTGTTAGACTAACCCATTTGTTACTAGAATTTTTTTTTTTTTTTCTTCAGTTAAGACTCCTCTCTACATCAATTTGATGTCGCCAGATAGCTGCACTCAATCTCAATCTGTCTTTTGGAGTTCTGGGTCCGGACCCTGCTGAACTGGACATTGTGGGAATAAGCAGGAAATGACCTTCAGACAGATTCCATTGTTAGGGTTAACAGCAGAGTGGTTTCCAGGTCCAGACCCAAGCCGTATTGCCTAAGTCTCCCAGTTATTTGCTGACTCTGATCGCTGAGGCCTCAAAATTGCATCCGTCCCTTCTCGTGCAAACTTTATATCTGATTTGTCCAAAGCAGCTCTTTTTCTGCGTTGCTCCTGTCCTTGACTGATTGATGAAGTGCACACAACTAGGAAGCTAGAGAATCCGTTTGTCTTGGGTCATTTAAACTTCTGAGGCTACATAGACTTTTTCCTTTGCACATGCTTTTCCAACTATTTCTTTGTCCCCCCCCAATCCCATCTTATCCCCACTAGCTTATCCCTCTATCTATTTCGTGAGGCATTTGTACAAAATTGGACTGCTCCCACTGTGGCTTCACCTATGTAATGTCTTAACAAGATGCTATAATATTTGGTAAAGAGGCGGCCTTATTTGGTAAAGAGGCAGCCATCTTCATAGACAGACCAGACGGGCAGTTTCTGGAGCTCTGTTCTCAAGTGTCACAGGGAGGCAGTGGATTGGGGAGTGGCTATAGGAATGGGAACATGTTACATGTTCCACCCTAAAAATAGTTGGAACATGTAATATAGTCCCAAAGGTAAACTTATCCTTTAAAGTTCACTTGTGACAGTTTGCAAGAAGCTGCTCATCTCATTTTCTGCACATGTCTCATGTCAGTACATATGCATAGGACACTTTAGAAGTATCCTGATAGGTTGTTTGCTCCTCCCCCAAATGCTTATTAGCCGTGCATCCATTTACTGAGGATTTAAACAGAAGTGACCTATTCCTGCTGTGGATTCTACTGTGTGCTGTCTACTTAAAATGCTTCTGGTAAAGGGTGTGCCTATCTTAGGGGCCCAACCAATAAGGGATTGGAAGCCCTTTCTAGAGGTCTGTTGATATAATTGGTCCATAAGTAGTTTTGAAATTTTTAAAGAGTAAACCACAGGGTCCACCATACCTCCCCCCTCCCCTCCTGAATTCATGCTTGTCAAACTGGCCTTTTATTTGTTTTGCCTGGCCATGTGACTATAGAACCTCCTAGTTGGCACTGATATTGAAGGATTTCAACAAGTGCAATAAAATGACCCACTTTCTAAATCCACAAAACAGCAGGCAATAATTTGCTGCAATCGTGAAATATTGCCCCATATAGAACTCATCTGAAGGACTGGTTTTCTTTTTCTGTTTCACAAAAAATGTCCCAACGTTGCATGAAATGTGTCAACAGACAAATTCAATTTTTTTTAAATTTTGTAACCATGAAAACATTTTTCTGATCATTTCATTTCTTTCGGCAGAAATCCTATTCTGCTCCTATTGGTATTGAGTTTCAGAGGAGATATGCAACCCTTGTTCTGGAACTGGAACAACTCAATAAGGATCTTAATAAGGTTCTCCATAAGGTTCAACAGTACTGCTATGAGGTAAGGAAACCTTTGTAATAGAGGGTATTTACCCACCTAATTGAAGATGTGGAAAACTCCTCTACACTAAATGGGACTTTGAAGGCATCATACATACATAAAAGTGTCAACTCTTTATTTTGTCAAAAATACCATAAAATTATGGCATAACACGCCATTAGTACAAAACAGTCATATTGTACATATCACCAGTCAGGAATATCATACAATTGTTGAGCAATGATGCTGATAAGTTACAGAGATGAATCTGCAGAAAACTGATGCATTTCGGAGCAATATAGCTCCTTCCTCAAGGATAGCAGATACTCTGCATAAGGGTGACATAGTCTGTTAGATTGAAAATACAATTATTTATTGCATGTCATATATAACAGCAAAATAAGATATCTTCTATGGTTCCAAATGTATAAATATACTCACAATATGAGAGAATCAACAAATGAAAATTTTCAACCATAAAAACAAGCTCCAAGATTGGCAGCACCTCCCGACCAGGACACCATGGGCTCTATACACCTGAGAATCCCACCTAAACGGAACACAAGGGCCACCCAGATCACTACAGAGAGAGAATTTACATAGTGAAAAAGATACCTACATAAATGAACTACATGAGAAAAAGCCACAAAATGGCTAGGTGGGGACACCCACCGTTATGCTTATGAAGGATCTCAATATTCCCAAGGTAGATATGGTCTCAATATAGGCAAACTTTAAAACTGTGTGTGTGTATATTATACACACACATACATAAACACACACGTGTTTGTGTCTCCACGTGTCTTTGTCCAATCACATCATGTGCCCCCTTGGAAATGACACGAATAAAAGTGCCAATAAGTGGATATCTCTAAAGCCCAAGAAAAGAGAGAGGCATACACATCACATCCAGACTCCACAGAGGCACATAAGATCATTGTTCAGTGTAAAAATTCTATGTAGTGCTTACCATAAAGGCAGGTATCGTAACATAATCATGAGAGATTCATATTGGCCCCTCTGAATCAGGAGTATCAATTGTAGAGGGAAATTCCCACATATATTGGGTCGTAATTAGGAAGTCCTGGACGTAATACCCACCCACCCCCATAGAGGGGAGAACCAGAGAGGGGAAAATGGCACCCAAACGCCAATCTTGTATTGACTCCGTGAGAGACATTTCCGGGCACCGCCCCCTGGCTTGCTGGTGCGAGGCGCCACCACACTGTGCGGAGTGATGTCACGTATCGGCGTGCCGCCGACACACTGAGGAAACCAGCACAGCCACCAATGCAAGGGGGAACAGCAGAAGCCAGAACTCCCAGCCTCAGCAGCCAGGTATTGCTGCGTTCACTGGATCGATTAGATCCGGCGGCGCAGCCCCAGCATGCCAGGCGCCGAAAGGAAGGAACCCAGGAAATTTTTTTTAAAAACTGCTTGTCCAGGGACTAAATCAGTGCACCAATTTACTTGTCCCTCATGACAATCTACTTGTCCAGATGGAAAAAAAATGAATTTTGACCAAAACTGTATTTAAATCTGAGGTGATTTTAGGATTGTTTTTAAAAACAAAAGGGGTTTTATGGTGACTTAAATGTGTAACATATTTAAAGCGGAATTCCACCTGAAAAAAAAAATAAGTCGGCAGCTACAAAAACTATAGCTACTGACTTTTAAAATACAGCCACTTACCTGTCCCTCGGTCCAGCGGTGTCCTCACCACCGCTGGTTTCACCGGCCGTCACATGACAGGTCCCAGAAGACTATGGGGGAGGGGGGGGGGGGAGAACAACTTCCACTTCTGACCGACTCAGGCGATCACAGCGGAAGTGGGAGCGGGATCCTGCTCCCGCCCACCGCTCCCTAAAGGTGCCAATCCTTAATGGGGAGTGGGGGACAAAGACTTAAAGCGGAACTTCCCCTTTTGGGTGGAGCTTCGCTTTAACATTGCGCTGTTTCTCTCCTCCTCCTCTCTCTCCCAATACCTATTCCCCCAACACACCCCCAACCCCCCCCCCCCCCCCGCCTCTCTCCAGCATCACATCCTGGGACTAGCAGGGAGGAGAGAGACCTTGCAGTGTAATGAGCACTGATTGGCTGCTCTTCAGGAAAGGGGAGTGTTGGGCTTATATGTGGAGAGGCTCATTTTTTTGGGGGGGGGGAGAATGATATGTGCTTAGGTGTAACTTTCATCTTTTTAGAATTTAAAAGAAAAACATTTTTTTTTTTTTTTTTTTTTTTTTTACACTTAATTTTTTTTCCTCACATAGGGGATGTGATAATATTAGGTAACAGGTTCTCTTTATTGAGACATCCAAGTTCTGAAAGACCCTATATGTCTCCCCGTACCTCACTGAATGTAAAGCAGTCCACATCGCACTGCATTACATTTAGTAAATCTCTATGCTGTTGTCCCAAACTACAAGTCCCGCGAGGCATTGCAAGATTGAGAGTTACATGCATGACTCCAAAAGGCAGAGGC